GTAAAACTGAATGCATTTTTAACCTTTAAAAAAGATTTCCATTTCATTTTAGAATATATTGTTCCTTGCAGAAAGACTCACTGTTTTTGCTACTAGCACTGAGATGTTGTCGTATGCATCTCTTATCTGTATGTATCTGAAAATTTCTAGTCATGATCAGTTGCACTCAGATCCTTGGCACCTGTGTATGTCTATAAAGTCATCGGGTAGATTTCAATGGTAATGTTTATTAGCTCTAATAATTTACATGACGTAAATTTTTATGCTTCCTCCTCAAATATAATTCATTTTCTAAAATTTGTTGTTTTTTTTAATGTATGTGTATATCACACAGAACATTCCAAACCATCTTATTCATCTATATACCCACTTCCCAGATGGCACCCTCCCACAGCCCCCCCCCCCACTAGAGTCCTTATACTCTGTCATCCCTGCTGTCATCCGCTGTGTTGTTGGCACCCCTAGCGGTTCCCCACTACTTGTCCATCTGGTGAATCTAGTCAGCCTATCTAGAGGTCTTTGTTTTAGAAAGGTCAGCTTTTCCTGATCTAGTGGTAATCAGTTGTCAGTATTCCTTTAGATAAGATTGGGGTCTCCTGTTCATTTTCCCAGTTCTGTGCTGGGTTACTATCTGGGAGTCCCTGGGGCCACCCTGGCCAACAACTCAAAAGAAGGTATCTCCTGTCTGGCATTGATGCATGTTATGTAGCCTTTAGCTATACATATGGACTCTTACAAAATTAATATTGTCCCCTTTAATCTTTGGTTATACTTTCCTTTTGGGTGTTTAAGACCATACAGTTGGCCCAGATAAACCAATTTATTTTTACTCTGAAAGCCATTTGAGGATCGATTCCTCAAGGGTCACATGGGCTTGGGAGGAGCCCCTGGCTCCTTTTACCAGTTCTGCCTATGTGAAAATAAGTCAAAGGTCCTCCTCGACCATGGCTGGCTTCGCTTGGAAGCATGGAGGAAATGTTTCCTCTCTGTTGACCCTCCTCTTTGTAGACTGGACACTGGTTCAGGTCCATCTTGTGGAGTCTCCAGCCAAGGTTAGTTCCACCAGTCTGGTATTTTTAATTACTGTGTGCCATGTAGATAAATCTTGGGCAAAGACCAATTGTTCTCAGATAAACCTTGCCTAGACATATATTTCTTGATCTGGTATGTATAATTTGTCAGTAAGTTGTTGGAGTAATATGGTTCCCTCTGGTTTTTAAACTAGCTAGGCATCATTTATCTCTCGCATTGTCTAACCTCTCCATCATGGTTTCCCCATTTAAGGTACCCCCATTTTTCCCCATTCTCCCTTAAAAATACCCTTCTCCTATGGTCCTACATCTCTTGAGCTCCTTCTTTCCCTTTATCCCCTAGGTTCCTTGTATGCCCTTCCCTCCCCCATCCCTTAAACTAACCCAAATTTTAATCCCTGTCTCTCTTATTAACACCTGTTTCCTACTGTTCTTCTCTTTCAGGTTCTTTCTTTTCCTTTACCTCCCTGTTTCCTTTCCATTATCCTGGTTCCTGTAGTTGTGTCTGGTTGCATACTTACTTATCAGTCTGGCTCTAGGATCCACATATGAGGGAGAACATGTCTATTTTTTTTTTTCTGAGTCTGTATTACTTCACTTAGTATAACAGTTTCTAGTTCCATCCATTTACCTGCAAATTTCATGATTTCATCTTTCTTTACTGCTGAGTAAAACTCCATCATATAAATGAACCACATTTTCATTATCCACTCGTCAGTTGAGGAACACTTAGGGTGCTTCCATCTCTTAGCTGTTGTGAAACGAGCAGCAACAAACATGGATGTACAGGTGTCTCTGCAATAGGATGAGTTCTTTGGGTATATGCCAAGGAGTGGTATAACTCCTTGGCAAATGGTAAGTTGGGTCAAATGGTAGGTTCATTTGTAATTTTTTAAGAGTTCTCCCCTTTCCATAGGGGTTGAACAAGTTTGCAGCCCCACTAGCCATGGATGAGTTCCCCTCTCCCCACATCCTCTCCAATATTTGGTATCATTTGTTCTCTTGATCTTAGCCAGTCTGACTGGGGTAAGATGAAATGTTAAAGTGGTTTTAAGTTGTATTTCCTGAGCAGTAGATGAGTGTTCCCCTTTCCCCACATCCTCTCCAAAATTTGGTATCACTTGTTCTCTTGATCCTAACCAGTCTGACTGGGGTAAGATAAAAATCTTAAAGTGGTTTTAATTTACATTTCATAATTAATAGTGATGCTGAACACCTTCTAAGATGCCTCTTAGCCATCCTTATTTCTTCTTTTGAGAAATCTCCGTTCAGCTCCTTAGCCCTTCTTTTTATTGGATTACTTCCTTTCTTGATATTTTGTTTTTTCAGTTCATTATGTTCTGGATGTTAAATCTCTGTCGGACATGTCACTGGTGAAGATTTTCTCCCATTCTGTGCATTTTCTCTTCACTTCCCTGGTTGCCTCCTTTGATGTACAGAAGCTTTCTAGTTTAATGAGGTACCATTTGTTGATTCTTGACCTTGTTTCCTGAGCAATTGATACTCTGTTTAGAAAATCCTTTCCTACACCTGTATCTTGTAGGTTGTTGCCAATATTTTCTTCTAATAGTTTCAGAGTTTCAGGCTTCACATTGAGGTCTTTGATCCATTTGGAGCTGACTTTTGTGCAAGGTGAAAGAGAGGGGTTTAGTTTCATTCTACAGGTGGAGATCCAGTTTTGCCAGCACCATTTGTTGATCATGATGTCTTTCCTCCACCTAATGTTCTTGGCCCCTTTGTCAAATATCAGGTGGCTGAAATTGCATGTACTCATATTTGGGTCTTCAGTTTTGTTCCATTGATCTATGGGTCTATTTTTGTGCCAGTACCATGTTGTTTTTATGACTATAGCTCTGTAATACAGCTTAAAATCTAGTATAGTGATCCTCCTGGCATTGCTCTTAGTGCTCAGGGTTGCTTTGGCTATCCGAGGTCTTTTGTGCTTCCATATGAATCTTAGGATGGTCTTTTCCAATTTTGTGAAAAATGTCATGTGGATTTTGATTGATTGGCATTGTGTTGAATCTATAAATGGCTTTTGGTAGGATGGTCATTTTCACAATATTTTTCCAATCCATGAGTTTGGGAGGTCCTTCTGTCTTCTGATGTCTTCCTCAATCTCTTTCTTTAAAGATTTAAAACTTTCATTATAGAGGTCTTTAATGTCTTTGGTCAGGTGTATTCAGATATTTTTTTTTCCCAGCTATTGTGAACGGGAGTGTTTCCATGTGCTCTTTCTCTAATTGCTTGTTATTGGTATATAGAAAGGCTATAGACTTTTGTAGGTTAATTTTGTAAACTGCCACTTTACTGAACGTGTTAATAATTTCTAGAAGTTTTCGGGTGGAATTTTTGGTGTCCCTTAGATATCATATCTTCTGCAAAAAGGGATAATTTGATCTCTTCTTTTCCAATTATTACTCCTCATCCTGCTCTTGTCTTACTGCTCTTAGAAGAGTTTCAAGTACTATGTTAAAGAGAAGTGGGGATAGTGGACAGCCTTGTCTGGTTCCTGATTTCAGTAGGAATGCTTCCAGTTTTTCTCCATTTAGAATGATGTTGGCTGTGGGTTTGTTATATATGGCTTTAATTATGTTGAGGT